ACTAACAGAAGACTACCACTTGTACCTTTTCTGCTAGAGTAATTTTGGATACAATCTAGCATACGACTCTGGCATTACAGAATCCTTCAACCCACCCCCGCTTTCCAAGTTACTAAGAACATCAGAATTAAAACTTAAGATACACTAGGAAAAGTAAGAGATCCAGACATGTAAACATTAGGTAGAAATTCAGGTCACAGCAGAATCCTGTGGACAAATATGGGAAAGGGGTACGGTGACAATTGGGGAGCATGTGTCAGTATGGCAACACCAGGTGGCAACGTCCATTGCCAACATTTCCCTGAAGCGCATCATGCAGCTTATGGGCCTGCATGCATCCTATGCTTCCCTTGCTGTGGCCCCCACCGTTGAAACCACTGCCACAAGCCATGACAGCAACAATTGCCTATTTGTCAAAAATGGGTGGCAAACTACTGCTGCGCTGCAAGGCTGCCCAATTTAGCTTGTTTCAAGGTATATTTTGTCATTGCGGTAATCCATAGAAGAACTGTGGGTTTTTGGGGGGCAGGGTTGGTTGGTTGGTTTTGAGACACTGACATATTTCACAGGATCTCAGGAGCAGAGCACTGTAACTCATGAATGGTGTGGAAACAGCCCCTGGCTGTCCCAGAACTGTCCATCCCTGCCTTATACTGCAGCATTTTTTAAAAAGCATTTCCTTCCATCTCAGGCAAAACATCTGAAAATGTCAAGGATAGGGTGGGATGAAACCTTTCAGAATCCATTCCTTCAGCATCTGCAGATTTGCTCTCATGCTCCGCCTGGTCCTGCAGAGTGAGCCAAACCAAGAGGAGCTCCACAAACTTGGACAACCATTGCACAACCAGCAACCTTCCCATCAGTAGCAGCCACTGAAAGAGCTGCTGCTGCAGAGATGCTACATGCGCAGGCAAGGAGCTCCAAGTGGCCAAACCAGGCACCGTTCCCGGTGACCACCCTCCTTCCCTACCCAGTCCAGCTGGTGATGGCCATACTGGGCATGGGGGAGAGGTGCTGTGAGTGGCTGTGACAGGTGCCTTAACTGTCAATGAAGCTTCAAATGTCTTGAGAGAGTTTGGTCCTTCCTTAGGTTGACACGGAAATTTTGTTGAAAATAAAATTTGGAATTTTCCTCTCATGAATGCTCAAGAAAATTGTAAGAATTCTACACATCATTGATGGTTAACTCTCATCAGCTTGGTCATAAATGGCTTTGGCAAATACAAAAACTTTCCACCCAGATCAGAAATTAATATATCTTCCTTGCTTGTTCCCACAATTGGCAACTGATGGCATTATCAGGAGAGTCATGTAATGTCAATGCCTCCTCCACAAGTCATCTGTCTGTCCACTGAGTCTTCAGTCTCCCCAAGATGTGATCCTGGCTTATTTTCCTGGTTTGTTAACTGACATTAGGCCAGAGTTCCCTCACGTAGATATAACATGTCAGAGTATCTTAAGGATCTTCCTTTAACAAAGGGATGGGCAAAGTGCAGCGAAGAGCCACTAGGATGGTGGCTGGTTAGCAGGGTAAGCTATATGAGGAGAAACTGAGGGAGCTGCGTCTTTTCAGCCTGGAGAGGAGGAGACTCAGAGGGGACCCGGTAGCGACATACGGGTAAGTGAGGGGGTGCCACGCTTAGGTGGGACATGACCTTTTTCCCCCTGCAGAGGAGGGCAGTACACATTCCAATAGAGCAAAACTCAGGAAACTAAGATGCCAGGAAGTACCTCCTGACAGTTAGGACTCCTAAGGTATGGAATGGGCTTTCAAGGGAAGTGGTTGAAGCCCCATTGGTGAGGGTGTTTAAGGATAGGCTGCACATGCACATGGTAGACATGTCAAGAGTGGAGCTGGCTGGAGCCGCAGGTCAGACTAGATGGCCCAGGAGACCCCTTCTGACTCGCCCTGTTTTCTGTGTTTCTATGTTTCTAACTTAGGTGCCCTTGGGCAATTTGCTTTGAAATATACCTAGAGGTTTGCTATCTGTTTTCACACGAGCTGCATTCTGTCCCCTCTCCCCTCTCCTCCCCTCCCCTCCTTCTTCTTTTCTTTTTCTCTGAGAGGAAGTTTCTTTGATTTTCAGTATCAAAATTCATTTTAATTATAAGTTCAGCAGAGCAGAACAATGTCAGCATCCATGCCATTCAACAAGCTACTGCTTGTTAAGATAAAAAGAGTCATTTTTAGGCTCTACCACTGTCTTTTGGAATTTTCTTTGATTTCTCATTGTGCATGCTAATTTGGCTATGGCAGCCGTTTTTCACACCACAGACACACCTAAAAGGACATGAGCAGTTGTCTAACACTTTCTTTGGATTCCTTAAGTTTCTACTCAATGATTTTTAGTCTCTCTCCCCTCTTTGTTTCTATGTTCTAAAGGTTTGGGCCCAATGCTCATCCATAGCCTCATAGCTTGTTATGTATGAAGCCTCAAATGGATCAATATTTGTGTTGACAAATTAATACATTGTTTTGATCTTACTATGTGTCTGGATTTTACAGCTAGCTAGGAGAAAGAAATACTTAGCTCCCAACCACATCCACAGTTGGAAGGCCCTGGAATCCACACGCCTCAGGGCTTCTCGCAGGCGTGCGAATGCTGAGCATGGCTCTAGCAGAGTCCCAGATGCAAAATGCTCTCAGGATTGTGCTTTCCGTAGCACCAGCCATCCTTATGGAGCACTATGTTTCCCTCAGAGGCACTGCAGATTCCAGGGTTATTTACTGACCTGCACATGCTTAGAGGTCAATTTCCTTCCAACCCAGAAGAGGACATCTCAGTGATTCAGTGAAAAGTTTGAGCTGGTGAAAATTAAATATCTAAACAAATAATAACTAATCTGGCAACACCACTGTCAGGAATCCTAGCAATATTTTGTGGGGTGGCTTTCTCATATGCCTTGGGATAGAGAACTATCTTGATACAATCAATTGACAACCACTAACTGTCTCCAACTTCTGAGGATAAAAACATGGGTTGGAATGATTAAAATGGCATCCTGTAGTATTGCATGCTAATCATCTGGTTATATTGGTAATACCAAACACAAAAGATATGCTTTAATTAATAATCTATCTTAAAGTGCACAAAACATGATTAAATTTAGAAATTAATCTTCAGTTTCCTTCTGACAGTGTTAAATAACAAGTTACAACAATTTCATAATAAAAAGGATTAGGCTTATACAACACATATCCATTAGGATTTAGGTTCTTTTTGCTAAAATGGTTTATTCTAATGCTACCTTAGAGATTGCTGCTTTGCTTTCAGAATGCATACATTTAGAGACAGCAATACAATTTTAATTTCTTTTTTGTTAAAGGGGGAAAAGTCTCACCTCCCACATCCAACCATACCCCAAGCAAACAACTGTTCTATTTAAAAATCCCTGGCACATCGAAACCATGGTGCTGGATTTAATCTTTCATCTAAACTAGAAGAAATATATAAGGGAGGGAGCAGGTTCAGACTTGGAGAATGAACATCCCAACATTAAAATATTTCCATCATTAAGCAACTTCATAACCACATCCTTCCAGTTCCGATATGGTGTTATGATTTGTGACATCACGACAATGCCTTTTCTTAAACATTGTGATCCTAAACTACACAGAATAAGTGATTAGATAGTCTGTATTTGATCATTTGATTGTTTACAAATCCCAAGCTTTTGGGCACATTCTTGTCCTATTCATCCTTTAGGCATTTGTACACTTCATTCACTCACACTGAAATAAGATCAGCTGGGGAAAATTAATGGACTGAAATCAGCAACATGGTTGGGGAAAAGCAAAACCTGTGCTTCTCCAGGAAATGTGGGTCACTAGGGCCAGGCTATACTTTTGGCTCCTTCACCAATATTGCCTCTCAGGACACAAGTTCAGATTCTGTAAATAAATAGCTTAAATAGACATTCATACCTGAAAGGGAAAAACAAAGTTCTGCAGTTGTGGAATTTGTCTTAGTGGAAGAAAAACTCCCCCCTGCACCCCTGCCAATGTGCACCAACCTCCATTAGGAGATGCTTCACAGGAAGTACATCCACAATGGACTTAGCAGCGCACACACACACACACACACACACACACACACAGCCTTCCTTTTGGCATTTTGCCATTTAATATTTCCAGGTTGTTTCTCAGAGTTCAAAGAAACTTCAAGCATCTTTATGTACTCCTCATGTCAGCAGTGTTTCAGAGAAGGTTTTGCACAATATGTGCAACAGAGTAACTTGACAAACTCTCTGTCTCAGCATTCTTTAATATGCCACTTACTACCTAGTTAATTCATCACATTTAACCCCCTTTTTAACAGAAAGTACTATGAAGCATTATCTTTGCAGCGCACAAACCTACCTGCTATGAGAAGCAGGCAACAAGCATAGTTCTTCTTTTTAACTGAAGATACCAAAGTGATCTACCACTGAGGTACAAAGGATTTAAAAAAAAAACTTGACTAGCAGTTTTGCTGTCAACTTTGTCCCAGTCAACTTAGGAGAAAATTTCAGTGGTGAGTGCCAACAGGACTCTAGATAAATGGGGCCACCAAGATATAAGAATGAGGAATCAGCATGCACAAAGGAACCCCAGGTGGTTCAGACATACAAAAAGTCAATTTCAAAATGGGGGAAAATCCCCTTCCAAATTCTAGCCTGAGACAGGGGATGGACAGGTAGATGGACAGGTGGACTGGCATCCTGAATTAAATTCCATTCAGACATGCCAGATATGAAACAGGCCCTTAAATCTGGATGGCTATCCCCTCTCCCCTCCCTGCATCTTCTTGTAAACTTGGACTTAAGGCAAGGAATTCTTAAGACATCTACCTATAATGCTACAATAGTAAGAAATGCGACAGCATCAAAATATCTCATACTTCAGAATGGATCGATGCATCCATAAAATCAGTTTCATGACACACACGCATCATCGACCGCTCTTTTTCCCTCAGTCCATGCAACTGGAGTTCTGTGAAGATCCATTAAGACCACTGTACCTTACTAAGTTGTTAGCACCATCTGGATCTTGTGCTGTTACTGTGCCCACAACAGTCCCAATCTTGGCATTTTCATAAACGTCCATGACATAGGAAGGCAGAGTGAAGAGTGGAGGCTCATCCACATCCCCAACAATGATCTTCAACATAGTTACATCTTTAAAAGGTCCTAAGTGTGAGAAGCGGAAATCGAGGTGGGTATTTGCTCCTTCTATATTAAGAGTATAGGATTTCTTTTTTTCATAGTTGAGTGGCTGTGGGAAGAAAAGAAATGTAGCATTACCACTGTGAGTTTGGGTTCACTGATTTCACTGGAAGCTTGGCAGCTTAGCCAATCAGCCAATATAGTTGAGCCTACTTAAACCAGCTGCACCTTCCCTAAGACATCTTTCTAGTGGCAATGCTCCTACCCACACAGTGCAAGAGGGTGATGTTAGCCATCACTCAACAGAGCTAAGAAGGATTATTTTCCTCATATCCAGGGCCACTGGAAGAGGTGGCTTTTTATTTCTTTAATTTACTGTACTCTGTTGGCTGGTAGGGGAAGGGGAAAGGCTGAGCCATTTTGCCTCAAGTTAGCTACTTATTGTTGATGGGTAAGACAGCGACAGTTAAACTAGTCTCTTTTGACAGAAACAACCAAGAGACTTGGGGCACTTCCATCCATCACACATGTTAAGGTGCCAGCATATGTGCACTTACCTGGGAGTAAGCCTCATGGAACACAGCAGGACTTGCTTCCAAGTAAATATGCATATGATCGCCCTGTTATTGGAATATAAGTATTCATAGAGCACAACGTACTTCATCAAATGCCTGCAATGTTACCCTCGGTTGGTAGGGGTGTGAGCCACACACAGACACACACAAAAAACATGCAAAGCATGCCACTTTCAGAAGAGGTTCCTACTGTGCAATTACACTGCTGCACCCATCAAATGTTGTGGGGAGCTTCAGGATGGGGTCTGCATGACCAAATATCCCTACATTTTCCCACCACTTCTTCCATCTTTTGTATACCAGAAAAAAAGAAAAGAGCAGAAAACAAAGAGGGAAGGTGCAGTGCCTGTTCTCAGTAGAAAGCCTAAAATGGGAAAACATTCAGCAACTCACAGGCACATGTTGGATACAAACAAACACGCACGTGCGAATAGGAAAAAAGTAAATGCTGAACCCATGGAAAGTGCAAGATCAGTTTGGAACAATTCTATATAAAGCTCAGATATACATAAGTGCAGTGATAATTCACAACAGCTTAGTTTACTGCTTTTTGTGACCAGATTTGGAGTGAAATAGGGACTGATAGAGTTTAAATATGCGTTATAGAGGGGACTGTATAATGAGTGAATTGCCAAAAAAAAAAAAAAAGACTGGAATTGAATAAAATAATACATAAACACATACACACATTTATATGGAGCAAAATTAAACATTTTTAAAACACTCATGCCATTTGAAATCCTTGTTTTTATTCAATAGCCCCCTAGATGGTTTTTTTTAAAAAATATGCTTAACTAACTCAGTGTTACTTTTTCTAATTTATCTGTTATATTTATATCCTATCTTTTATTCCATCGAGGAGCTCAAGGTTGCTTACATAATCCTCCTCTTCCTCTCCATCTTGTCCACACAGCAGCCCTGTGATGCAGGTTAGTACATAACTGGACCCAAGTCATCCAGTGAGCTTCATGGTCCAGTGGGGACTGGAACGCAGATCTCCAGGGTCCTGGTGCGACCCTCTAGCCACTATTCCTCACTTTTTCCTGAACTATGCAATTTCTTAGGAGTTTACATTGCCTTCCAGACAGATTAACCCCCACCCAGCTTTGACTTTTCCACTTTTTGTTGTTTGCCACCTGGAATCAATTTGATTGGCATTGTTACCTTGTTACTACATGATGCACACAGGATACTCAATGGTGTGAAGGTGCAAAATTGCTTTACTGTGGCACAAAACAAGCTCCCATTTATCAATGGCACAATAATTCATTCCCCAAGTCACTGCTTGGGAGAAGCACCTTTGGCAGCAATGGCAGCTGTGAATCCTTCTGGGCAAATCTCTATCACCTTTGTACATCCAGATCTTGCAGTGAATGCTCATTCTTCTTAGCCAAACTTCTCCAGCTCTGTTTAGTTGGATGGGGGCCACACATCTTTGGACAGACTCTCAAGCAGATTGAGGCCTGGGCTTTGCCTGGGTCATCCTCAGACATCCAGGTTCTTGATTTTAAGCCACTCCAATAAAACTTTGAGTGTGCGTTTAGGGTCATTATCCTGCTGGAAGTGAACTTTCAACCCAGTTCCAGGTGCCTTGAAGACTGAAACAGGGTTTCCTCTATTTGTCTCCATTTATCTTACCCTCAATCCTGACTAGTTTCCTAGTCCTTGCCAAGGAAAAGCATCCCCAGAACGTGGTGTTCTCAGGGCAATGACTCTGGTTGGCTTTGTGCCACACATAACATTCTGCAGCAAGGCCAATAAATAAATGAATAGTTTCATTAGACCAGAGAACCCTTTTCCAGATATTTACAATATCTCCCACACTCTCCAAGCCAGCTTTGATGTGGCTTTGTTTCAGCAATGGCTGTCTTCTTACCACTCTTCCATAAAGGCCAGCTTTGTGGGGCATCTGGTGATAGCTTTTCTATGGATGGTTTCTCCCATCTTGGCTTCAATGCTCCCACGCTCCTTCAGAGTCACCATGGTCTTCTTGGTTGCATCTTTAACTAATGACTTCCTTACCCAGTCAGTAAAGTTTGGTGGATGGCCTTCTCTAGGCAGAGTCAATGTTGAGCCATGTCCCTTCCATTTTGCAATCATGGATTTAATGGTGCTCTGAGGGATTCTTACACTTTTGGGATTTTTTATGTATTGCATTTATACCCTGCTTATGGTTTTCCTGTGGAAAGCCAAATGGCATGTTGAGAATGGGATGCTGAACTAGATGGGTACCTTACATGGCTCTTCTGATGTTCCTATATGCAGTCAAAATAGCCATACACTGCCAAACATATACTTCCATTTCATTTGCAAATTTCCCAATTTGTGCAAATATCCCCCAAAGACAGTATCAGCCATACTTTAATCTATGGGAGAGAGCTACACACACATGCAGAAATCTGCACAAACTTCGCATTTGATCACTGCTCAATTGGTACAAATTCCCTATTTGTGCAGAACAAGCAGCAATCACAAATGCAAACCATGCACAAGACGGGCAGCAAGATGATGTGTCGAGAGTCCTGACCATAGAATCGTAGAATAGTAGGACTGGAAGGGGCCTGAAGGCCATCCAGTCCAACCTCCTGCTCAGCGTAGAACTTCCAGTTAAACCATCCCTCTCAGGTGGCTGTCCAGTTCATTCTCTAGTGTGGGAGAGCCCTCAGCCTCCCTAGCTCATTGGCTCCATTGTCATACCACTCTCACAGTCAGGACATTTTTTCTTGATATCTAGCTGGCATCTGGCTTTCTGCAAATTGAGCCCATTATTCCGTGTTCTGCATTCTGGGATGATCATGAAGAGATACTGGCCCTCCTCAGTCTGACAGCCTTCCAAGTACTTCTACAAGCTCTCATATCTCCCCTCAAGCTTCTCTTCTTGAGGCTAAACTTGCCCAGTTCCTTCAATTTCTCCTCATAGGGCTTGGTTTCCAGTCCTCAGATCATCCTTGCTGTCCCCTGGATTCCTCAGCAAGCCAGATTCTACTGAGTCACATGGATTCCTTTTGCTATTTTTCCTACATACTTTAAATAAAATCTGTAATTGTTTGCAAAATGTAGAAAAACACAGAAAGATCAGCCCTTACTAAATACGAGCATTTTGCCTTTAGACTGCAGCATGAAAAGACATATTTTCCCAGAAATTTGTGTATTTGGGAAGTGGGAAAATGCAAATACATGTAAACACATCTACACAAAGTTTGATTCTGTCAGTGGGGAGACAATGAAACAGAAGGTGCCTGACAATTCATGACTAGAATGCATTTCACAGTCCTTATGTCTCTGCTTGCAGATGAGGAAGTTCAAGTTAGGTAATACCAGTTCCTCATTTGATTCCCCTAGATAACAGGAGAGCAAATGCTTTTGAATATAACACTTGTCATTGCATATATGTTTGCTGGAAAAGCCCTTGACAGGTAATATTCCTGCCACCATCCCATCTTTTGGATCCGCTTCCCCAAATCAGCAAACTTTCAGAAGTTTTTCTAAAGCTTCCCAGCAGATTTGCCGACGTGATCGACATAAATGATCAAGGCTCAAGTGGTTCAGTTGGCACAGAGCTTCTTCTTAATACTGGCATATTTTATTACATGGCCCTTTAATGCTATTCAAAAGAAAAGTCAGATAGGAGTGTGCTTATATATTCCTTTATTTTAGCTGGTCTGTGGAATGACAATTAACGTAATGTGCACAGAATAATAATACACCGGGTAGAAATGTGCATGCTAATACTTTTCAGTGTGTTGCATTTTTACACAATAATTTCCATATAAAACACTGTGTATTTCCATATATATATAACACACTCTGTTCAATGTAGCTATCCATTTCCTTTGCAGCTGCAAGATGCCATGTTGAACTTTTCTGAAATGCTTATTTTCACCTTGCCCAAAGAATACTAGCAGCCAAGCACACCACACTGTCTTGTGTATAAAGGGTTGAAGACTGTAATTCAACATGCAATTACCTGGGAGTAGGTCCCACTGAATTCATTTGGGCTAACTTTGGAGTAAACATGTATAGACACTGTCAGTCACTTACCTTACCTGATACTTTGTGTGTGGTGATACAAGAACAATCTGTGTGTGTTTTGACCATAAGGATAACTGTAAGGTGAGAAAAGGATAATTTCTCACATCTTATAATAGAGAATCAGAGCAGTATTAACATAGCTTTGTAAGTGTTTCAGGAATGGGCTGCAGTTATCACAAGGCCAGCCTTCCAACTTCTCCTCATATACTCAAAAGTGGTCAATTTTGATCACACTTACTTTAGAAGTTCCATAACTGTGACAACAAAATATGTGCCATTGGTAAGACCTGGCAGGAGGCCTTGAGTCCTGCTAAAAGATCTGTTTTGAGCACTCCTTTTTGATGGGTAATTCTCACATAACACTCATAAATTCCCAAGGCAGCCTCAGACAAGAAAGATAAAAGCAACTTGATCAGCATCTGTAGTTCATCCAACAATAAAGAAGATTTCAGGAAGAGTTGGGGTAAGGGCCCTGTGAAAGCTGGGTGCACATGCTTATTATTTTGGAAATAATGGCTGAGCCATTGCACCCTTTAAGTGTCTCTGCTAGAAAGTGCCGCATGAAAGGCAGATATGCATTCTACTTAAGGTTGATCAATTAAGGCTGATCTATTTAGATCTGAGGATATACTATAGTAAATTCTATACCTAGTTTGTGAAATTTTAGTTTCTATTTGTCATTTCACTTCATGATAACAGATGGCCCAAAAAGCTAAACAAAAAGAAAACCCTTTTTTTACGATTTGTGTTTAAAAGCTTCATACTGAATGGCTAATTGTAGATCATAAACAGTCTTTTTCAGATTTCAGATTTCTCCTACTGCATGAGAGACTCCTGAAAGGAATAACCATACGATTTAAGAAGTGAAATATCCTGTTGTTGTTTCTATACCTACCAATGTATTTATTAGTAAAAATACACAGTGCCTTAATGCAATTAAGTGTCTTACTAAACAGGAAATAATAGCCATTTAGATAGCAGGTAGCATTCATACAATGCTTGTCTTCTCAGATATGCCCTTTCAGATGTTATCCTCATTACATTTTCCATACAGAGTTAAAGGCTCTAGATGAATTGGTACAGAGAAACTTTGGATCTATTCAGGCATTCAGGGTTCAGTAAACACTTGTGGAGGGGCATGCTAGCCCCTCTCCCTCTGTCACTGTTCCCATCATCCTCTACATACCATCATCCTCTCCTTTTGAGAGTGAGAGCCTCCATCTATTCATCCCATAATAAAGAACTCTGATTTTCCATGATACTAGTGTACCCTCCTTCTACTCTGAATAAAAGATCTGACTGTGGCTACTTTTGTTTTCACATCTGGCTGTTTTTCAGCCCCTTCAGAAATAGCTACCACTGACATAGAAAACTGGGCCAGGCCCTTTTCATGAGTGAAGCTAACAGGATCTCTTTTGTGTTTCTGGTAATTATGGCTGCGAAGCCCTTTCTTCTGTAATTCTGCAAATAATGATGTGTGTGGAATCCATTTTGGGGGTAGGAATCTATCAGATCTCCTCAGCTTGACTCCATTTTCTCTCTACCCTAAATATGCTTCCAACTGAGCATTTGTGTGGGCATCTGCCAAGAAGCAAGTCCAGGTGGGCCTGTGAGGTTGGCTTGTGCACAGGCCATCCTCTGTGCGGGGTTCTGCTTCTGCATATCATGGGCTCTGTGTGCTCCACATGCCTTGTGCCAAGAATTATGTACTCTGTGCACTTTGTGTTTGCATAAAGAAGTTGCTGGTGTTCCCAAGAGTTTGAGAACTTGAACTTGGCTTGGCTCACTTCCAGGCCATGGCTGGGAAAGGCATCCGGAGAGTGCAAGAGGACCTGATTTGGACCTGACCTCTGCATCCCTGTGTATCTCTGGTCATTTTTATAGGGCCAGGTCACTCTACACTCTGTTTTGTATATTTCTGCAGCCGGCACACCAGGCCCCAAGGCAGCCCAATCTGATGCAGTTTGACTCGAGAAAATGTCCCACTGAGTTCAAAGCTGCTCATATCATGTAAACATAAGGCTAAGTTTTGAAATGTTATGTGAGTGAGCAGTGTAACTTTCTCTTGCCAATGGCCTTTCTTCTATAGCCCAAGAGTTTTTCTACCACTGAGGGACACTCATTTTGCTGGTGCTTGGCTGAGAAGAAGAATATTCCAGAAAATAAGCTGTGGAGGTGGGTAAGTCACAGCTTTGGACACACTTCTCCACCTCTCATCCATGTTTCATTTTCTTTTAACATTGTACATTTTCAGCCTCTTCATACATGATAAGGACAATCACCGGTTTAAATACATGGAAGTGTTGCTGTTGTATTTGGCTTATCTCCTATGTTTTTTGCAGGACTGCAGCTTTCAGGATCTTTCACATAGGAACCTTTTACAAGGTAAGTTTTTGCTTACCTTTTTCAAGGAGAGAATTCCTTCCCGTGTTTCTTTGTCAGTTGATATGGCAAACACTGCAGCTCCATCCCCGTTTATGATGGTGTATTTCATGTCTGCATTTGAGCCCATGTCTGCATCATTGGCCTTGATCTTGCCTACTGCAGAGCCAACTTGTGCCGACTCAGGAACATAGAGCTGATAATGTTCTGGAAAAGACAATCGGGCAACTTTTCTAAAAAGGATGCTGAAAGAGCATTTCAATTAGTCAAAGTCATCCTCTAGCTGAGTACAGGTTTTCGGAGTTCAGTGCAATATACTAACATTGTTTTGCCAATCTAAAGTGTAAATTGCTTAAGAAAGGTTTTCCTGCCAGATTGAGAAATATTGTGCTCTGGAAAGAATGAAAGAATGAAGTAACAAGAGAAAATCTGATAGCTGTAACAATCAAAGACTAGCACCTGTCTGCCAATTTGGAAGCCCAGAAACATGGGCTGAAGGCAGGCCTTCTCACTATTATCCATCTCTAGAAGTTGATATTCAGAGAGATATTACGTTTGTTTGTTTGTTTGTTATCATGAATTAGAGTCACTGATGAATCAGTCTAATCCTGTCTTTCCCAACCTTATATGTTGTGAAATATAAGGTTGGATCATCAGATGTTGTAGGACTGCAGCTCCCAAAATCCAGGGGTACCAGTCATGTTGGAAAGAATGATGGGAGTTGCAGTTCCACAGCATATACAGGGCCCCAGGCTGGGAACAGCTGGATTAAAATGCTTCATATTAGATAGGTTATCAGTGTCTGGTCACAAAAAGGCAGTGCAGTCTTTTTTCCAGTCATCACATCTGGTGGCACTAAAACCCTTAGGTTAATTCAGCACTGTGTGAAGATGCACTTTCTTCTGTAAATCTGGAATTGGGAATCAATTTCATTTGTTTACTCTGAATTCTAGTACTAGAAACAGAAAAACTTGTGCAGCTCATTAGTTTAAAAATAGAGCAGGCAAAATTTTAAATTGACATAAAGCACCTGAGATCTTACAAGTTAAAAGCTAAGCAACTTTAAAAACTTTCATGAGTTCTCCTCCTCCTACATTCATATATTTTGTGGTTGTGAGAAACTTTACTGCTCAAAATTGTATTATGCTAAACCAAACTGGATTATATCCTGTGTGCGCCCTGTTTCTTGACCTTAATGAAAAAAGAAAAGAAAGCATATCCAAGTGAAGGGGCTGTGAAAGGTGAAATTCTGGCCGCAGTGGCCTGTGAAGAGCAGGTGAAGGCACAATCCTACACACGTTTAGCCAGGAAAAACATCCTACAACTACCGGAATGTTGTAGGAGTTCTTTTTCCTATTCAAACATGCATAAAATTTTCACATTAAGAAAACCTCTTTGGCTAAAAGAGAGGGAGGGAGGGAGGGAGGGAGGGGAAGAAGAGGAGGGACCAGCAGTGGAGGAGGCGGCGGGGCTGCGGCAGTGGCAACAGAGCTGCCAGATTGCTTACTAGGACTGGCAGACATGACCGCATAACATCAGTCCTATATCATCTTCACTGGCTACAAATTGAAGCGAGAGCCAAATTTAAGGTGTTAACTTTGACAGTTTAGGGACTGGATATCTGAAGGAAGATCCCTTTCCATTTGCAGCTGTCAAAATGCTGAGAACTTTCACTGAGATTCTTCTCCAGGAGTCCTCTATGAAAGAAGTTAAAAGAGTGGCTATGGGGGGAAGGGCCTTTTCTGAGGCAGCACCTTGGCTATGGAAGCTGCTCTCCAGAGAGGTACACCTGGCACCAACACTTTACTCATTTTGGTGCCAGACCAAAACTTTTTTATTTACCCAGAATTTGAATGGTTGATTGATTTCATTATACAATACAGAATTGTTTTTACTGTATATTTATATATAGATATTGAAACTATGTTATCTAATGAGCTGTTACACTTTTACTTTTGTAAGCAGTCTTGAGATCCATTCTCAGATATAGATGGGATAGGAATGTTTTCAATCAATCAATCAAATTTTTCCTGTATTTTAGTATACATCAAGCATTTCCGACAAAGAGCATTAAGATCCAGATGTGAAAACCATGCCTAGTCAGTGCAAACATCTCCAGAAAATATTGATAAATTTATGAAATAAGATATGACAATGTGAAAAATCAGTAAAAGAAAACATATTTCCAACTATTTTCTTTTCAATAATGGCTTTTCATTTGAAAAAACACGTAGTCCTTGACCTACCATAAGCTTTTGTAAAAAAATTAGGCAGACAATCATTGGGTTTCTATGCATTCCAGACCCATGTAGGAACACATTTAACTTGGGTAGACATGCCCATTCTGCTGTATGAATTCTGTTGCTGCCATTTTCCAAAATGGCTGACACCCGCATGGGGATGCACTATAACACCTAAACAAATGCATGCAGAAAGCTTACTTTGGTGACCAAATATACAGTATCTTAGTCAATTTGGGCAGAACGCTCTCTAATTATGGCTACTATCTTTATCATCTTGTAGACAGAATGTCAAATTTGGATTTGTGCTCTACTTTGAAGTTTTTCAAGGGTATTTCAGAAAATTACACTCTCCTAGACTAACCTACTTCAACAAGATTCCTCCAAGTATTAGATAACATTTACAGTATCCTGATTTCTTTGAAGAAAAAGTGGAATAAAAACAAATCTTAATTTAACAGCATTGAAATAGATACTAACACTGGGGGGAATGCAAAAAGCAGAGTTTCTCTCTAATTAATGTTCCTCCATGTTTTGGCTCCCAGCATGTCTGCACAAGGACATCCTAGTTTGCCAGTATAAGGCATGATTCAAGCAGCTCTGAAATTCAATCATGCATAGTGCATCTGAAGACAATTTGCCTCCTTAACAATGTTCTGCCCCTTCTCAATTTCAAAGACTGCCTGCCTTCTCGTTAGCAATCACATAATATTCATTCAGCAACTACTCACATATCATCATCATCATCATCATCATCATCATCATCATCATCATCATCGAGGCTTAAAATATAACTCCACAGTTAGCAGTTAGTGGTGCTTTTTTAAATAGGAAATTGGGTTCACTGCAGATCTCCATAGAATCTATGCCACTTATTATTTCAAGGTCCAGCTCAGGAATGCATGTAAGTGAATGGCTATAACTTAAGACTGTGCTTATTAAAAGGAGATAAATGCATGAGAATTACACTTCTGAGAAGAAAATCAGTAAAGCTGCCTTCTAAATGTTGACTGTAGCTCTTTAAAATGTACAAGTAGCCCCAAAGAAACATAAAAACTGAGCAAATCAGAAGGGGCCTCCTGGGCCATCTACTCTGAACTCCGGCTCCAGCCAGCTCTGCTCATGACATGCCTACCATGTGCAGGTCCAGCCTTTCCTTATGCACCATCACCGATGGGGCTTCAACCACCTCCCATGAAAGCCCATTCCATACCCTAGGGATCCTAACTGTCATGAAGTACTTCCTGCCATCCACCTTAAATCCTGCTTCCCTGAGCTTTGCTCCATTGGAATGTGTCCTGCCCTCATCCGCAGGGGGAAAAGGTCATGATCCACTTGTGCATGAAACCCTCTCACATACTTATATGTCACTAACAGGTCCCCTCTGAGTCTCCTCTTCTCCAGGCTAAAAAGACCCAGCTCCCTCAGTATCTCTTCATATGGCTTACCCTGCAAACCACCCACCATCTTGGTGGTCCTTTGCTGCATCAATTCTAACCTTGCTATATCCATCAAACCCTTGACTGCTGTGCCACACTGCTGACTCATGTTTAGCCGGTAGTCAACCAGCACCCTAAGATCCCTTTCGCAAGTGCTGCTGTCCAGCCACTTCTCCCCTAACCTGTACTTATGACGCCCATTCCAATGCTCCAATGTGCATTTATCCACATTGCATGCCATCCTGTTATCCCTGGCTCACTTCCATTGTTAGTCCAGATCCTTTTGGATCCAGAATACTTGCTCCTCAGTTGTGGCCACAGCCCCCATTGTCTATGAATTTGATCAGCAGACTTGTCACATCCTCTTCCAGGTCATCGAAGAAAAGATTAAACAGGATCAGTCCCTGGACAGAGCCCTGGGGTCCCTGCCCATCACTGACTGCCATCCCGACAATTCATCACTAATAGTTACCCCTGCTTTTGGTCTGTCAATCATGCCCTAATCCATGGGACAGTGCATTGGTCCATCCCAAAACTCCCAGCCCCTCCCAGCCCCTGCAGCACCTGTAACACCCTGGTCCCCAAACCCTGGCCCTCTCTCCTCACTTGTCCCATCAGGACAAGTTTCTGGGGGACTTGAACCCATCCTCAGGCTCAGTTAAAAGCCTTTCACTTGGAACTTGCTAAAGCATGAATGCATTTGTTACTTGATTTAAAGAAACAAATTTAGAAATAAAACATTATCTATGTCATAAGATTTGTGTAGGATTGCTACTATAGAGAACTGAGTAATATATTTCAATAACAAAGAGATATGTTTATATTCCATATTATTTAGAGTAAAATCTTTCATACAAAAATCTTTCATTTCATTCGTATACATGACACATTATCCCGTCCAGTAAACACTCTTGGATGTTGTATGCATAATAATGGCCAATTCTGTCAGATACTGCATCCACCCGTCTTTTCTGTGCATGCTCACAAGACTGGATTGCTGCATGAGCCCATGAAGAAGGAACACACTTCAGCCCTTTGTATGGAAGCAAAATGCACATATAACTCAACAGTTTTTAACCACTTTTGGTTTGTAGAATTCATGAGCTTATCAAAGACAGACATGCTCCTAACAAATTATTAAATGGGATCTAAAACACTGAGGGAAACGGCCACAATTGTTTTCCTGCCTTATTCCTGAAAACAACAGGGATTTGTGAACCTGCAAAACTCCAGCTTGTTAAGTTTCTCCAACTTGTACCTCAATGCTTTTTCCAGCTCATGCATATATCAGATTTCACACTTCATTTATCATACAAAAATGGTGCATATTTTCATGCATACATTTTAAAAATGTGAACATCAATTTTGCATGTTTTCTCATTGATTAAAGCTTGTCTGACTGCATTTTTCCATGTAGCTGTGGTGGTGGCTCTGTGCACTCCACCGTAAGTGTGGAAAGATGCAGATTTTGACTGAAGACTGTATTCAGCCTGACTGTAAGTGAGAGAGCAGAGGTAAAGAGTACAAA